TTTTTCTAATTATTTCATTTTTGAAGGGGCAAATCATTTCATTTTATTTTCTTTTTCATTTCTTATAAAGTAGAATTGATTTTTTTTCCATTTTGTTCTTTTTTATCTTATTATGCTTATTTATTTCTTTCTCATTCTTTTTCCACTTTGTATTATTGCTTTCAATTTTATATTTTTGAGTATCCTTTATGTTTTCTGAAAAAATATTTTAATAAATTTTCTTTCTGTACAAAAAAAAAAAAAAAACATCATGCCTAAAGCTTCAACTTAAAAAAATAGAGCAATATCAAAATGATGACATTAAAATTAAAAAATAAAATAAAATAGTAAGTGTGAAAAAAAAATCAAGAATTAATAATTCTATGAAAATAGTTTGGGATAATTTTAGAATAATAAAAGTGTGTAGAAAGTAAATTCAATCAATTTAAAATTATGTGGGGTGTATGTTTAGAATGAGAGTGTAAAGAATAAAACGGGGTGTGTAAGTAAAACCACCCTAAACAAAAAGCCATTCACAAATGTAATTTTAATATTTTAACATGATATATTACTCCTAGCATTAATTAATAAGTTAAACAATAATATTAAAATTCAAAAAGCTAAACAAACAAGTTAAAAAAGAAAAAGAAGAAATGGAATTAAATAAACAAACATTTTAAAGTGTGAGGTGTGATATGAATATAGTATAGAAACATTTAAAATACAAGCTAGATTAAAAGTAAAATTACAAATTTAATACCCAAGCTGGATTAAATTTTTTGATACTAAAAAATTTTTGGTACAGAAAGCGCATTTTTTGTTATCAAACTTTAATAGCTAAAATTATCAAAGCTTTAGTTACTAAATTTGGTAGCAAAAACAACACAATCCGCTACCAAATATAATTTGGTAACAAATAACATGGCGGGAAATGAAATTTGGTTCCCGCCAATAATTTTTTGCTACCAAAATAATATTTAGTAACAAAAGCATATGATTCTGCCACCAAAACTTGGTAGCAAAATATTACATTTTTGCTACCAAACATGTTTTGGTAACAAAATGTTGGCGGGAAGCAAAATTTTTTCTCGCCCGAGGTATTTGCTACCAAATTATTTTTGGTAGCAAAACATATAACATTTGCTATCAAGTGTTGAAAGCAAAATATAACTATCTGCCAAAAATTTTTCTACCAAATTCATATTTTAGTCGCAGATTCATACAAGCGAAAAATTAAGTTTTTGCTACCAAATTTTAGTAGCAGAAAATAAGATTTTGTTACCAAATTTTAGTAGCAGAAAACAAAATTTTTCTACCAAATTCATATTTTGGTGGCAAAAAGATGTTTTTTTCTATCAAAAGTTTTGTTTGGTAGTAAATCATTTAAAAACTTTAAAATTTATATTTTGTGCTTGTATTGTTTTTTTTTTTTTTTTTAGTTTTCCATGAATATGTCCTATATTAAGTTTTAACAATCATCCTAGTATATTTTGTATATCAATTATTTGATAATTCAATTATTTTGTGTAGGTGTAACAAGAGACATGTTCATTGGTATACATATGTGATCCTCTTAATTAAGTATATGTTCCACATAGTGTAGTATATAATCTTGCTATTTGATTGATTTATAACTTTGAATAATGTATTTCAATTTCAAAACAATATTTTTTGTTATAATGTTACTAGAATAATGATTCTAAAATTATTTGTCATTAAAATGTTATTTTTTAATTTTTAATATCTTTCTGGTACCAAATTTAAATTTAGTAGCAAAAAATATGCTTTCAGCTACCAATATAATGTTTGGTAACAAAAAACATAATTTTCTGGTACCAAATTTTGGTAGCAGAAAACATAATTTTGCTACCAAATTAATATTTTGGTGGCAAAAAGGTGTTTTTTGCTACCAAAAGTTGTGTTTGCACTACAACAAATATCAGTATCAATAGCTGACCAAAAACGTTATTAAGCACTACCAATAGCGTTTTATAGAACGCTAGGACATCAGACGCTATTAAAAGTCGTAACAAAACATAACGTTCTAAGAGCGTTATGAAAAACGCTATAGAATTGAGGTCTTATAGCGTTTAAGACAAGTTATTTTCAACCTCTTACAGCTATTTAACATGGCAACAGTACATATTAATAGCTTTTTCCCTTGTTATGTTCATACTCTTATAGCTTTTTAAAATTATTATTGATATCCTTTTAAATTCATTCAAATAGATGGTGATTCCGAACAACATCTTATATCTAAATAGGAACATTCAAATTAAAACATTAAAACATTGAACGTATCAATTGTTATTAGTATCTACCAAGTTGGCAATAAGATTACGTCTACAACATAAGTCATATAATGTCCAAAACCTTAACATTCAAAACAAGTAAAGAAAACAAAGGAATAGCTAGAGATATCAAAGAATCCAAAACATCTAGCTAAATGAAATGGTGAAGTAAATCCTTCCATCTTGACAAAATGCTTCAACAAAAAAGTCATCTCCACTGTTTAACCTATAAGAAAATGATCCCTATCAAAACAATAATCAAACTCAACTAAAACTTCCAGCATTTAACCTATAAATAAAGCAAGGACCAGTTACACCATTCCAAACTACATAGCCACATCCACATATGTTTTACAATGAGTTAGAGAAAACATAGCTTCAATGATGCACTAGGCAAAAATTTAATGTCAAACTTGTAAAATAGAGAGTGTCTTAGATGTATTGTTATGTAGATAGTTAGAGAAAGCATGAGTCTTCATTGCCTACATTTAAACCCAAAGGGAAAAAACACTTGCTATCACAATCATATAGAACCAATCTCAGCCCGAAAGTGTTTCATGAAGTATTAGTTATCTTGACAATAATGTTACAATTTTAACAAAGAAATATATAGTATACTAGCATGAAAAAAAAAAAAAAAGTCATGAATGAAAATAAGAGTAAGATGAAATAAAGATTATAGATGCTTTACGGCTACACCTAAAACAACAAATAAGACAAGGCACCGCGACACCAATTTAAACATGTGTGACAAAATAAACAAATGTTAGCACTTGTCACTAAATAAACCATTCACAAGTTAAAACTACAAAGAATTTCATTAATCAAACCAAGAAATTCATTATCACATCTATTGACCTGTAAGAAATAACAAAAGCTGACAAAATAACAAATGAACACATGCTAAATTAAAAATCCAAAAAAAAATGTTTCCAGGAAACTAGTAGAAGATAACAGAGTCAAATCCATAAGCACAAATAAATCAAATAGATGAGAATTCATAAAACGAGGGACGCACTAATTAAAGCATCTCACAACCAACACTTGTCCCTAATTAAAGCATCTCACAACCAAGACTTGTCCCTAATTAAAGCATCTCACAACCAAGACTTGTCCCTAATTAAAGCATCTCACAACTAAGACAGACAAACGCAGGTTTAGGATGATAAACATTATGCAAATTATAAGCATCATTTCATTGAACATCATAGATATAGATTTACCAAGGCAGACAAAAATTATTTAAAGACAAACCTGAAGTCTTGTCTTCCACCATTTAACCTGTAAATACAACAATGACTAGTTAAACAATGCACAACTACATAATTAAGTTGCATATGTTGTACATAGAGTTGGAGAAATCATGATCACTTCAATGATGCATAAGTCTTCATTGCCTACATATAAACTCAAAAAAATAGACTGATCCTCACTTTTGATGCCAGAAGACTACAAATACGTGGTGATTAGATTGTAGAACTTATATACAAAGAAAGGCCTCAATAAAGTAACTAGGCAGGGAAAAAACTAGGTGGAAAATTAACGCCAAGAACAACTTGATCTCACATGACGTCTGCATCAAAAGGCGAGTGTGAAGGGATTCAAATATAACAAGAAAACCACCCAAAAAAAGGAAACGAAATATTACAATAACCCAGCATATAAAATCATGCTTCATTGATAAGGTCAAGGAAAGTTCACCACACACCATTAGCAAAAATTGGCCTGTGGATGTCACGGACATTTCCAAGTATCGGCAAAACTCGTGAGAGTGCACCCTTCAGTCGTGGTGTGAATTGCAATGCTTTAACACAGTACAAAATGTACAACACAAACATTTCAGTCGAAGCAGACAGAAAGCATTAACCAAACTTCATGTAAATCAATTAGTACTAAGCATAAAGGAAGTTTGATTATTAACCATCAGCATAAGTAAAGTCCGCAAGTGTTTGAACCATAGCAGGTAAGCCGAAACTTGGCCCTGGGAAATGAACGAATATTTCTTCCATCATCTGCCAAAATAAGATAAACAGTCACTAAATCAAAACAAAGAAAGTTATTCACTCAATAGAAGATAAATGACAACAGATTGACGGATAAGCAAAAAACTTATTTAAGTCAATCTGCCATTCCCTTCAAAACCAAAATCCCAGAACATGATCAAAGTAAGCAACTTTAGAAATTACCCCTCTTACGATAGCTTACAGGTCATGACTCATGTGTCAGCAGGATACTTACTAGGTCAGGAAAATGTGAGCCTATTGAAACCAGCAACCAAGATGTAGCTCTTTGCCAGTTAGTGCTTAGTTCCTAAAATAACATTTCAATGAATCACGGGAGCAGTTTCATGAATTTTTCACTACACATTATAAGGCCCCGTTCATTTCGCCGATTCGAGTTTTGCTACAGTAAAAAACTCTCAGAAACTGTCACATCTAACTTTTTTGCTACAGTAAAAAGCTCTCACACAAAATCACATCTCAACTTGAATTACAAACTCAAATCAGCGAAGTGAACGGGCCCTAAATATACTAAAGGGGAGTTGGGGTTTACTGTTCACACAGGCACAATTCACTGTTTCTTCTACAGTGAAATGACGATTTTGCCCTCGATTTACTGCTTCCTCCTTTGTCTGGTGCAGGGGCATTTTGGTCTTTTGAGTGTCATTTTTTGCCCTTTTGCTTTTACTTCTTCGTAGAAGCTTCTGGATTTTTTCTCAGATAAGGACGACCTCGCTTCTCTTCTCCTCTCCTTCTTCTAGGTTTTTCTTGCTTCTCTTCGCAGAAGCTTAAAGAAATGGAAGCTTCATCGTAGAAGCTTCTAACTTTTTCTCTCTTCTCTTTTTTTGTTCTATTTCTTTCTCTCGAGCGATTTTTTCTACTCCGTCGTCCCCGATCCTTACCTCTGCACCACCACCACTGTCACCGTTAGCCCTCCTTTGATCATGAGGCCTAGGCTTTTTGGTCATTCCACGGGCGTATGCCTTTTTCTTTCTCGATCTCTCTCGATTTCTTTCTTATTGGCTTCTTCGGTGTTTTTTTTTTCCCCTCCCGGTATGATCCTTCTCTCTCGGTTGGTTTTGGTCGTAATAATGCGTTTCTTCCTTTGTGGTTTAAGTGTTTTTGTTCGTTTTGTATCATTTGGGCGCAAAGATTTGGGAGTTTCATTGCTTTTTTCTTCATTTGCCCCCTTTGTTTGATTTGGCTGGAAATTTGGGGTTTTTATCGGCTTCTTCTGGGCTTTTCCACTGCTTTCATTTATGATTTATGTTGATTTTTTTTTGTGCTCTTTGTGGGGAGCTCTCTGATTTTTTTTTTGTTGCTTCTCCGTCGGTTTGATTAACGGTTTTGGTTAGAGTTTTTATGTCCTTTTGTTGGAATGCATGTTTTTCTTTCAATTTTTTTTAACGGCTGCTTTGTATAAACAGACGGTGTTTTATGTCCCTTTGTTGGAATGTATGGTTTTGGTTGACTAACAGACGGTGTTTTGTTGATCCATGTGCTTTATCTTCGGCTTTGATGGATTTTTGTGTGCAAACAGTTTATGTAGGTCAGTGCATTTTACCTTGGCTCATTTTCTACCGAGTATGAATAATCTTTGATTTTTTTTTTGTTTTAATTATTAAAATGATGATCTGTGCTCCCTATAGTATTGATTTGTCTTACTACCTTGATGATTTGTACCCATTTTGCTGCAGAGGTATTAAATGAATTGACAGTTTCTTTCTTCATCCATTATCTAGAATCTGTACCAATTTTAGGGGAAAAGATTGTTTTTCCCCAGCTTTTTTCTTCTCTCTTTCTCTTCTGTTCAGTCCTTTTTTTTTCTTTTTTCTTAGTCCAATTTTAGACCTATTTGTTTATTCATTTGCTTATTTATCTATCTATATTTCTTTAGATTCCTTACCGTTTACTACTTTATATCTTCACTATTGCATCCTTTACTGCCCTTCATACTTATTTGATGGATATTTCACGTTTCATATTTAAGAAATAGAAATGTCTATTCTCCACATACTTTTAAAATACAAATACAACATTATACCATAATCAAATTGAATATTCTCTTATGTCTATAAGCATGATTGTTCATTGACAAGGTATAACACATGTTAGAAATGAGAACTAAAAAATGGCCAACAACCAAGAAAAAATATTATGGCATCCGTATTTTATCAGTTTTTTTCTTTTGGTACCTCATTTGTTCATTTGTTTCCTTACTTATTCATCTATATTTTTCCAGGTCCCTGTCATTTACTCCTTCATATACTTATTGCTGCGTGTCCTTTTATCGACATTGACCCTTGCATGGTCTGTTTTGGTACTTGCGGTGATATTGGCAGCATTTGAGGTATTTTCAAGAACTATTGTTGGCACTGGATGTATGAATTTGCAATCGCAATATTAATGTCCATTGTTTATGGTTTATTATCTATGTTTGCATAAACTTTTGCTATACTATTGATAGATATTACTGATGTAAAGAGCTGAGAAAAATTCCCTTTTGCTGCCAGCAAATATTAGTAATCATACTTTATTTTCAGCTGTTTTTTCTATATGGTGATGATGATCACATTTCATTCTAACAGAGTGAGTTCCATCTAATTTGTTCAAAAACTGCTTTCAATGTGTTCTCGCTGCCTCAATTCTTACTTTGCCTATCTTTCTTGACTTAAATCTCTTAGCTACGTCTCTGTCATTTTCTTCACCTATTCCAATGCTTCCACCCTTTTTTACACAATTATTTCTCTAAAAGATTACTTATACATACATTGGCTTTCTTCTCCTCTCTGTTGTTTTTGCCTTTTCTTCTTTTCCCTTTGTTTCGTCTGATCTCCCTGTTTTACTTGCTTTTGATTTTTTGACTCTTTTCTATTTGTAAAAAAAATCAATGCTTTTCCTTTGTTCTCTTAGGTCACTTGGTGGTCTTTGGACAAACTTATATTTTATTTTCACCGGTCATTTTCTGTGACATACATGCTATAATCTATATGATGGATATAATATCATAGAAATGTTCATAAAAATTTGAATCTGCGAAGTGAATGAGGCCTAAGTTTGTTTATCCATCATATGTTGCCGAAGTTGCTGGAAATATTAAGTATCTGAGCCATCATTGCTGTATAAAAATATCATGATATTCATGTATTATTACTTTTTAAGGTCACTTTGTTTTCTCTGCACATTTCTTTATTTATTTAGTTAGTTATTTGTCTATATTTTCTCATGCTCCCTATCATTTACTACCTCATTTTCTTACTACAACATTCTTCACTGTCCTTGACAGTTCCTTAGTCGACATTCGTCCTTCACACTTGAAGCATTACTTCATATCGACCTCTTTTCTATTACTTCTTCCACTCTGGATGCGCACACTTATTCATCTTCCTACAAGAGATTTATATGCATGTGCTTCATTTTTCCCGTGGTTGATTTCTATAGGTAAATGCCTAATTCTTTGTTCCCTTTGCTTATTTTGTGCCTTCATTTTGGCTAAATCAATCTCCTTTGATGATTTGTGCTGATGATGTGTAATGCCCAGGATGTTAGTTTGTACTCTTACATTGATGATCTGTATTTCTTTTGTTCGTGAAGCATTAAATGAATTGATGATTTTTCCTCTTTTTATCGTCTGAAATGCGCAAAAAATCTGCCACCGGGGAAAAAAAGTGATGATCTTTATATCTATTGTTTCTGAAGCATTAAATGAGTTGATGATTTGTCTTCCCTTTATTGACCGGAATATATAAAAAAAAATGCCATTTCAAAAAGAAAAAAAATATGGCAGTGTTTTTTTTTCCTCCCCCCTCTTTTTAATCCTTTTTCTTCTTCTCTCAGTTGATTATTATTTACTTTTTTCTTTTTTTATTTTATTTTTTCGTCCCACCTTACTTTCCTGATTTTAATCTGATATTACTTTTATTATTTCATTTAATTAAAAATATTCTTCTCCACTCTTTATGCACCGACTTCCAACTGCTATATGTGGTATTGCTATTGGTTATTCTGCCCTTTATATATGTGAGATGTTATTGATGTGTATTAATTTATTGAGTAAATTGTCCTCTATTTTTTCCACACCTAACATCATCCTTTCTCTATGGGTCCGTTCACTTCGCTGATTTGAGTTTATAATTCGAGTTGAGATGTGATTTTGTGTGAGAGCTTTTTACTGTAGCAAAAAAGTTAGATTTGACTGTTTCTGAGAGCTTTTTACTGTAGCAAAACTCGAATTCTAAACTCGAATCGGCGAAATGAACGGGGCCTATCCCATTGTTGATCATTTACTGCTCTACTTTATTTTCACCTATTTACTGCTCAATCGTTATAGCCCAGTCTCTTTCACTTCTGTTTGGTTGGTCGATATTCATTATTTAAGTCGATATTCGTTATTTTGTGACTATAGGTTTTTAAATATCTTCTTTTTTTTTCTCCCCTTCTACTTGCTCTATCATTTTTGTCTTTATGACTGTCTTGCTTTATCTTCACCTATTTACTGCTCAATTTCTTAGGCTGTCGCTTCGGCTCATTCTCTATTTAAGGGGGTATTCATAACGCTGCAGGTACTATTAATAACTTTTGCCTACATCTTCTTAATATTTGTTACATTGTTTTCCCGAGTTGCTATCACTATTTGTTGTTTGCTATGGTATGCAAAAAAAAAACTTTTTCTATTGTTACACCTATCTTTTTTTGACTTCTATTAATACATAGTGATGATATATTCGTTTTCTGCTGATTTCTTTCATAATCATATACATGTGTGCAATTATTTTTGCTCACCGTATTTTATCTTTACTTGGTTTTGATATGAGGTAATGGTGATTATAACCAGTTTTGGCCTCCTCATTTTTATATAATATGTCCAAACCTCTCATAATCATACATATATATATATATATATATATGCGCGCGTGTGCGTGTGCAATTATTTTTGCTTAGCATATTTTATCTTTACTTGGTTTTGGTATGTAGCAATGGTGATTATAACCAGTTTTGGCTTCTTCATTTTTATGTAATCTATCCAATAATTACTGTGAATAAGCCTTCCATACTTGAATTTTAATTCCATGTTCTGATTTTGTCTGTAGTTTTTGACTACAAGTATCTAAATGTCTTCTTCTCTCTTTTTTTTTTTTTTCCTCTTTACTTGCTCTAACATTTTTGGCTTTTTTAGCTGCCCTGTTTCATCTTGGCCTATCTACTGCTCAGCCTTTTAGGTTGTATCCCTTTTATTTGTATTTGGTCGGTTCATGTTCTTTATTTAAGGGAGTATTTTGACCTGTGGCAATGATGATTACAGTAGATTTTGGCCCTTCAGTCCCGTTTAATCTGTCTAAAAATTGTTGTGAATGAGTCTTCCTCATTTAGTCCTTAATTCTACCTATTCTTTTTTACTCGAACAGTTTAAATGTCTTCTCTTCTTTTCTTTAGTATCTGACAGTAATGATGATAACTGGTTTTGGGTTCTTGAATTTCACCTAATATCTCCAGAAATTACAGTGACTAAACTCCCCTTAATTTGGATTTTGATTTTTTCTATACTTTTGACTAAGATAATATAAATTCCTACCTTTTCTTCTTTTGGTCTTCCTTAATTTAAGGCTATTACATTTTAGATACCTATTTGAATTCAATTGAGATTTGATTTATTTCTGTTAACTGAATTTCCTCATTTTCCTATGTATTTTTGTCTTCTATGCCTTCATTTTCCCCATTGTTGTTGGCTTCAGCTTTCCTGGTTACTTTGATTCAAATAAAATATGAGTAGCAATTTATTATTTAATGACTTCGTTCCACCTATTTCCTCCATTTTACTTGGCTGAAACATAGAACCACACTGCGGTCAGATTCTGTCCAGCCTCATTGTCTTTCTAATGTTCATGTTTACGTCCTCTTTTTTAATTCACCTATAGTTTTTAGACATATTTATATTTTGCTCTGGCCCTTTATTTTATATGACAAAAAAGTCATAATCTGTATGGCAAATATAAGATCTGATTAATTTTTGTGCTTTTATGCAGTTGTCATTAATTGGTAGCCATAAAATGGTCATATTTCTTACACATTTATGCAGTTGTCTAGACCTTCCTATTTGCTGATTGTGTATCCGACTTTCGCTTAAATTAATCTCTTTTACATTTATTGATTTTGCTAATCTATGTTGATGATCTGTAATGCCTAGCATACTCATTTGTACTTCTATGTTGATCTGTGTCGTTTTTTTTATTTTTTATTTTTCTTTTTACATAAGCATTAAATGATTTGTGCATTTTTTCTTCTTTTTTACTGATCTATGTTGATGATCTGTGATGCTTAGGATACTCATTTGTACTTCTATGTTGATCTATGTCGTTTTGTTTTTACAGAAGCATTAAATGATTTTGGGATTTTTTCTTCTTTTTGTTGTCCGGAATATGTTCAAAATTTGCCCCAAAAAATGCATCTTTTTTTCCTCTCCCTCTTTTTTTAATGTATTTTCTTTTTCTCTGTATTGAATATTGTTCTTTTTTCTGTATTAAATATTGTTAGGGGTTTTTTCTTTTTTTCTTTTTTCTTTTTTGCTTATGATTTTCTTTTTTTTCTCTCTTTTTTTTTTTGGCTCTTTTGCCGCTTTTAATCCCATCCCATTTCTATCATTTTCTTTATCAATGAAATTTTTTCTTTACAATTTTCATGCACCGATTTCCAACTATTACGTGTGGCATTGTTATTGGTTATCTTGCTCTTTATGTATGCAAAATGTTGTTTTTGTATATTAATGTGTTATCTAAATTCTCTCATGTTTTCTCTTCCACACTTAAGATCTCTCCTTTTCTGCTCCAACGTTGATCTTTTATTGCTCTGTTTTACCGTGGCCTATTTACTGCCCGTCTTATTCCTGTCTCTTTGGGTTTTATTTGGTTGGTTGATATTGGTTATTTAAGGCACAACTCACAATATTTTAGGTATTATTAATGATTTTTGTCCAAATACTCTTAATATTTATTGTTGATAATAAATATATTATCTTGGCCATCACAGCACCAACAACAAGGTAACATATATTCTCCAACTTAAATCAATTATACATGAAAAATGATATTTATTATTTGAAATACACATCTAACCAATAATTTATTATTTCAGTCCCCGGTTAAAAACAGCAACATCTACAGCAACATCAACACCAATATCAATTCATACGCAAACACCAGATCTAAAAAAATCTGCCACAAAGTAAAACACAATTACCAATTTATATTATTTATCAATATAAAAGACGAGTCATTATTTTATATACATATTTAACAACTTTTTACCATCTCAATTCCTAACAAAAGGAAACAGAATAAGCTAGAAAACGCTAGGTAATATAATTATCCCTAAATCAAAATATTTCCAATTCTCTTAATTATCAATACCGATTTTTTTTCAAAATTTATATTTTACAGCTAAAAAGACGAAACAAGGACAAAGCACAAAAACAAAAGCTCAGATATACTGTAATCAGCTTTTTACAACAACATTATCCAAACACACACATATATATATATATATATAAATATGTACATATAACCTAACTCTGTATTATAAAGATTATCAACTCTTTGAATAATATAAAATTACTGTCCGCCTTAGATTATCAACTCTTTGTATAATATAAAATTACCGCCCGCTGCAATGCGCGGGCATACAGCTAGTTATATCTAAAAGACCTAAATTCCAACAAGCAACTAGTTAAGTATAGACTACTTTTGACTCGAATTACACCATCACAGAATTAAAATCAAACAAGAGCTAACAAAGTAATAAACTGCCAACATAGCTTCAAAAAGAATACTCCTACAAGTACAAATAAATCAATCAACTGCCTTGGAGGAAATCATCTCGGCCGTGGCAATCTTAGCAAGCTTAGCCCTGAAAGAAGGATCAAGATCTTCTTGTTGTCATTTTCGTCGGTCTTCTTCTTGTTATCGTTTTTGTTGTCATCCTTCTTGCTTGGCTGCGGAGAGATCAGGTCGACCTTCTTCTTGGTCTTCCCGGTGAGCATTTCCCGGAGTTTTGACAGGTTGACTTTTCCGACGACCGTCAGCTTATTCACCGTGAACTCTGCTTTCGTACCATCAACGCCTTCACCACCGCCAAAGCACCACACAACACAACAATGAGTTTTCATCAGTTGTATTTCTTGTTTCAAAACAAAGCAGAGAAGTAATTTTGCAATAATAACAATAACCCTTTTTGTCATGAGGAAAAAAAGGAAACAAAATCTGATAAAACGAAGGAATCTGCAGAGATAGGGAACCAGTATAATTTGTAAATCTACCTTCTATTTTTTTTCTCATGTAAAATCTGGGGAAAAATGTATGTAAAAACAGTGAAACCAATTCGAATCTGTGGTAAGTTTTCAAAACACATGCAAAATCTGAGAACTAAGAAGAGCTCAACGGGAAAATTTGACGAATCTCTAGAAACTTAATACTGACCATCAAAGCTCTTAACAGTCTTGACAATTTTGGAGGCACAGCCCTCGCAGTGCATATTGACCTTTAAGACCACAATGAGAGAGTGATCTTCCTTCTTCTTATCTCCTCCATCGCCGTTCTTCTTCTTCTCAACGTCGTTCTTCTTCTGCACCCACACACCAAAACGCCATTAAAGTCAACAAAGCCATAAGAGAGAGAAACAGAATGAGAGAGAGAGAGAGAGAGAGAATTCAAAAGACTTACCTCGCCCATAGTGACTAGTGAGTGGATGACTTGGTAGCTCTTTTGTTGCAGAGTCGTAAAACGAGAGAAAGACGTGGTGATGAAGTGTGGGCATTTAAAGGAGGAAAGAAAGACTTGTTGAGTTTGCTGGGGTTAGTTGTAGGTCAGTAGTGGTGGTTTAGGCTTCGATCTTCCTTCCACGACCTAATCTTCACAAAATCTCATCGAGGCTGGCTCAGAGCATCTTCCTTCCACGACCTAATCTTCACAAAATCACGTCAACGAAAAAAGAACCAAAAGGGGGCGAATGACCGAGCGGGAAACGTAAAATTTGGGGGCAAAATTTCAGAAATGGAGAACATACAAAGATAGAGAAATGCTAACCTCCTTGGGTAACCGAGCTTCGCGTAGGAGGACAGCTTCACGTGCCTTCGATCTGCCTTCCACGACCCAGTCTATTTCAAAATCACGTCGAGGCCGGAATCAGAGCATAACCTTCCGGTCAAGCAAAGCAAATCAATTTGGACATCAGAGCATAACGGGGAAATTTTGGAATTTGGGGGAAAGAGAGGAATGAGTGAGGTGGAATCGAGTGAGTTTTCTTTTT